TGTCGGTTTATCAGCATGTGCATGCACAACCGTTTATAATACAATAACATGAAGTACGTAATTGAAGACATGTCATAGAGAATGATTATTATGGACAATATGCTTATCACCAGTAACATATCTACAAAACATAAATGGGTCCGATACGTGTTACAATCAGACATAGCAGAAATGCTAATGCTCAATTATTTCATCTGTTTGCTCTTGGCTAAGAAGCGGCAATGAAATATTTAGTTGTTAATATTTTTCATATTTTTGTAAAATTTTTAATAATAGTGTAGATTTATTGTGTTGAACTTAGATTGTAGGGTACTATTAATGTAACGTAATCTGAGCTCATGGTAAAATGAACAAAAAACAATGAAATGTAATTTGTCTTCTATATCTCTTACACTTAAAACATAATAGCTTGTTTTTATGGATCATTTTATATCCGTCTCTTTCTACAAGTAGATCGTTAGACGAAATGGTAAGCTAAATTTTACAATAATCAAAATACACGACACTCTTAAAGAATTCCTTAGATAAGATTGTAGACAATTTACCTCAGGCAGATGTTGACGCAAAAAACATTTGGAAGAATTTTCAAATTGATTATTTAACTTCTGTACAAAAGCATCAATTAAACGCTGGGTAAACATTTGATATAAATAAATGATTATGTACAACATTCTAATTAAACCAAACCGAAATCCAAAACCTTGAGTCATTATCTTTTTTCACTAATATAGTTAACATTTTTATCGCAGTACGGTCCCTCACGCGTTACCATCAGCGCTGTCAAGATTGATTGATTATTTAAGTTAAAGTGCAGTGTAATTGAAATTCATCTTTAGATAAACTATATATATATATATATATATATATATATATATATATATATATATATATATGTGTGTGTGTGTGTGTGTGTGTTTTAATAGGGAAGTCACTTACACGTAAGTTTGTCAGAGTGACTGAATAAAACCTTAAGAAAGCTAATTTCCCCATTATTTTTTTTTAATTCGCGAACTTGCGATCATAAAGAAAAGATGGTTTGTTTTATCAGCTCACGCTGACAGAGACATTTGAAATGGGTTGTGAACTTTCTTTTGTCATTGCAAATATGGTATCAATCATCAGCGCCTAGTTGATTCCCAGAAAGTCAATTTCATAAACTATGATGTTGGGATAAGATATGTCTGTATATTTTGGTGTTTGTCAGGCGTTTCGTAACATTTTGACACGACACAGAAACCTTTAAAAACAGAAGATAGATTTGTAGCATTAAATACAAGGCAGTATTATTAGTTGATTTTCGCATTCCTTCGTCGTAACAGCAGATTTCACTATAGTTGTTGTGGATTTGTGCAACTTTTACGACAACGTACGTTTATTTGTTTCCTGGGTTTATCGCCCCGTGAACAACTAGGACCACATTAATGGAGTCTCCCTATAGTAAGTGGTGACCACCTCACTGAATAACATACAGAAGGACCATCGCATGTTATCCAAGGCAATTAGGCTAAAGTATTTTTTCCAAGAAACAGCTTTCAGCATCTTGAAAAAAGACCTCAACCGCCGCCATTAGGGATTCTCAAACTACGTAAGTAATTCTGATATATGTACTTGAAGATAGTTCATGATTCCAGTTAGAATTTCGTGTCATGTTCTAAACTCTGCCTGCAATGAAATATCGGGTTCAATACCAGGTAATAGGTACTTGCTAAATATGCCAGCTTCCTGGTATTTAATTGTGTGTGTCACCTGTTAACGTATACTTTATCCATCGTGTATTCTACTATTTTGTTATTTGGTCCGAGACGTAACGGTAGATTCTGGCACCAACTGATTTGTAATGTTTTAAAATGTATTTATAAATACATAAAATCCATTATATTAATAGGTTTAATAAAAGGATGACATCGTACTTTACGCATACATTCCTATACATTCCTATACAAGTTCACGAATACATGCACTGGCGTAGGCAAGGGGGGGGGAGGGCAACTGCCCCCCTCCCCCCCCTCCCCAATTGTCCCAGAGGTGACTTTTGTGAAACGTGTAAATCCCCGTTGAGTTTTTTTTTTATGGGGGGGGGGGGGGGGGGGGGGGGGGGGCATTCTTTCGTTTTCTGCATCTGTATTTTTCATATCTATATTTCAGTGATTTCATCGATTCTACTTGCATTCTGTCGAAACTAACACCACACAAACTACACTCAGCTCAGGTAACAGAATCAGAACTCTCACTTTCCCGTTAGCCGCGATGGAAACGGATGCAACACATTGTTTGACAGGTCAGATTACATTCATTGGACACAGAACGTCTTGTAACTAAATGTGAAGGCTCATAGAAGATTATGTCTTCTCTAAAACTGAAAAGTCTGCATTTACCTGAATATGATTTTTTTTGAAACGAGACAGCTTTGAGCTTGAATATTGTTGATCAAAAAGAAAACGCCAGCTAACTCTCCATTTGACCCTAACCAACTCGGTTTTTTTTTACCTGAGAGGTATTCTATGCTGATTTTTGATGTTTATGTTTGTTGTCATTTACTGATATTTCTTACTGACTGTTATGTACATGTAGTCCGACATTATTTTGTTTCCATTTGTATCTTTTCTAACTTTGATTTATTTCAATATATTATATCGACTTTTCCCAGTATTATTGTGTCGTTATTTTCCTTCAAAATACGCTCATAATGCAGGAAATGGAGCCAAAATTTTCAAAATTTTCTAGGGGAGGGCCCCCAGACCCCTCGCCAAAGCTTCGCGCTTTCGGCTCTCGCGACGCACGGCTTCGGTTACTCTTAGAAGTTACTATATGTCAGTAAGAACACGGATTTTAGATTAATTTTAAGTTCGTGATAAGAGATACGGCACATGTAATATCAAAAATCATAATTTTAAAAATACGTTCAGTTTTCCCTTCATCGGAGTAAGAACCTTTGCCACTTTTAAATCAAATATATGACCGTAGAGTTAAGAATTCGTGCTAAGTCTGTGTCCCGAAAGGGCCCTTCACCGCCGCAATCTAACCGTGTTCTCGGATAACAACAAGGTAAGGTATTACGAAATAACCTGTCCCAGCTGAAAAACTACAAGAAGACAACATATCTTTATTTCTTATTTATATTCATGATATCAAGAATGTTATATCGTTTTGAAAATGAATAGCATACAAGATCACTTGAAAAAGTAAAAAGGGTTGATTAGTTGCGTTTAAATTGTTGTTACGCACGCCGACGGTCTTGTTTGAGATATTTATGGATTTTCCCAGGTCGTTTGAATGGGTGTGGCGGACACAGTACAGAGGATAATACTAATATCAGGATGTCCGGTTCTACCTCAACTCCAACTCGGTCAGAAGGGGAAAAACTGCGAACAGTCTTACAAATTCTATTAGGCAAAATCAAGTAGTGAAACATAAGCTGGTCTTAATGGAACTGTGCATATTGTTGGAAAATGGTAAAAATTGTATTGTTTTGTATGTACAGATAATACTAAACTTATAAGATAATAAATTGAATGGATTTAAAATTACATCCGATATTTATTAACATCGTAAACATAGTTAAGCATAATTATCCTGCCAAATCCGACCACGTGATCTCAATATCTAAAATTTACTGTTGTCAATTCAATCCAATCTATTTTCCTTTGTCGTGTTTAAGGTATAGAGAAAGATGTTTACAAAGCAATATGTCATTGTTCAGCAGTTGTGTGATAAAACATGAAAACCTGTTTCGTTTACTATCCCAGTACTATTGTTACACGTCTAAATCTCCGTCGGGCTGGTCACACAACTTCAGGGAATTAAAACACGTTTGACTTTTGTCTAACTGTATGGCTTAATGTATCTGACGATTCAAATAAACTTCCAGTATAGACAAGTGTGATACTAACGATAAAAAATAGCATTTTCTACTCTTACTTGGATCATAAATAAAGTTACGATATTTTTTTCAGTTGGGGGTTTACTGGCGAGTCCTTCGAAACAACTGACCATATGCACTCATAAATGAAATATTATATTTTATTCAACAGATATTGTTGAACTGAATTGTAACACTCTGAGTTTTATAATAATCACTGAACGTGGTTATTATTTGTTTGTGATTTTGAACATGGATATTAATGCTATCACGGATTCAAATTCGAAGCAAGTCCGACATGTTATGATGTGTAACCTCTATGACTGGCCCCTTTCTACCTGTGGGCTCGCGTGCCTACAACTCGATAACCGCTAAGGGGACGTTACCCATGGTATCCCGTAGAAATAGCTTCATATGTTTTCGTTGTTTTGTTTCTGCTTTGTTAATTCAATAGAACTGTTAACCCTACTTAGTTATCACAACTTTTATGTTTAAATATCTTCCTTTAGATTCTATTTGTTGTGTTGTTTCCAGGTTATATTATTTAATTAGTTACGTTGATGTCCAATTGAATACTTTTGGTCCTTTACGTAACGATAGACCTGTCTTATTGTGATAGTGCACCCAGTCACGAACAAAAAACAGGTAAACGTCGTAGCTGTCATTCTGTTCACTGTATTATCTGTATTGTCTAAGTATTTCGATAAATATTTTTGTACATTCTTAACGTGCTTCAATTCATACAAAAATCCCCTAAAACTCCTATAATTTTTTTTACTTGTTTCTTATTTTATCGTATGTAAATCCCTTCCATTCCTTACGTTAGAACGTTCATTTAATGATTGATACAAGAATGAAACATTAACAACATGTCAGGTGAAAAGTTAAATTTTATGTATGGTTAAATATGGTAACCTACAAGCCTACCTAGCCTCTCCTACTTAAACCACTGACGCTGTGATGAGAGGGATGATCAAATGAGTCATGTTAAGATAGAAGAGGTTTTATAAAATAGCACCAGATTCGTAATTGGATATTGAAAAAACGAATCAGCTGGGTTAAACAAGCATTTTCTTTTTAATTCTAATGATATATCTATGATAGGTTTGGGATTTATGTAAATGATATTTTTGTGACTTACCCTGGACCGTGAATAAAGAACGAATATGGATAAGGGAAATCAATCGCTTCGCTCCTTCTAATGAGAATGAACACCGACCACGTGATAGTCCAGATGATCAGGGTCACTTTTCCCATGAGGATCAATATTGTCTCCGTACCAGTTCGCCAGAAAAAAAAGAAAGCTCTCGCAGCTTGTCTGAGGGTGTTACCACCACGCCACCCCGAGCGTTTTCTTCACCAAAAATATAAACTCTTGAAAGTTTGTTTCTGGATTATTTCAAAACTCTGCAACACAACACGAATTTACCTCCAATAGAACGTATCATCATATAATCCAAATGTCCTGTATACACACAGTATCACACAAAATTTTACATGACAATCACGACTAACGAATCAAAAATGAAAGTGATAACATTAAAGATTCCTGGTACTAATCCATATCATTTGTGTAAAAATCTATCCACTGTATCCTCTGTAATTAGTTGCTTCGAAATCACTGTCCACCGCCCATCTCCCAACAGTACAGTTAAATCGCCTGTTGATATTACATGTCCGTTTCAACAGCATTTCCTTATTTATGGTCGTTCGTCAACAAGCCAATCGGGGAATCACCACAGACCGTGACGACAACTCAAGCAGACCCCCTAGGCGTGCACAGATCAATAGACTATGCCAATCAAAACACCTGTAGTAGCATGCTTTTAAGACCCTGCCCCAGATCCGTGACGGGGTCAAATGTAACCGGTTCGTTTTTATACAACCACTAAAATTCGTTTATTGCTTACTCAGATGATAACAAAGCATTACACAATATTGTTTGCACACTGACGTCAGTAAATAGCAGAAATTTTGGAGATACGACACACACGGAGTTTTTACATGGAGACACCAGTTGTTTATTAGATATGTCATAATTTTCTATCAATTATTAATATGTATCCTTTTAGTTTTGATAACAAGATGCTATTAAATGTATTGACACAATACGCGACTTGGAAATAAATGACATTGAAAGGCTTTAACTGTACAATAGGATACCTTTAAATTATAAATAATGTAAAAATCTAACCATTAACTATGTTAACGTAACTAGATAAAGAAGATCACTTCCACCAGTATTACAGAAGTGCTTTAATCCGCTGGATAATTTGTTCATGAGATGAAACTAAACCCCAAAATGTCCCCAACGTAACTTATATATATATCATGGGACTAACACCCCAAAATGTCCCTAACGTAACTTATATATATCATGGGACTACACCCCAAAATGTCCTCAACGTAACTTATATATATCATGGGACTAAAGCCCCACAATGTCCTCAACGTAACTTGTATAGATTATGTGACTAAAACCCCAAAATGTCCCGAACGTAACTTATATATATCATGGGACTACAGCCCCAAAATGTCCCGAACGTAACTTATATATATCATGGGACTAAAGCCCCAAAATATCCCGAACGTAACTTATATATATCATGGGACTAAAGCCCCAAAATATCCCGAACGTAACTTATATATATCATGGGACTACAGCCCCAAAATGTCCCGAACGTAACTTATATATATCATGGGACTAAAACCCCAAAATGTCCTCAACGTAACTTATATATATCATGGGACTAAAGCCCCACAATGTCCTCAACGTAACTTATATAGATTATGTGACTAAAACCCCAAAATGTCCCGAACGTAACTTATATATATCATGGGACTACAGCCCCAAAATGTCCCGAACGTAACTTATATATATCATGGGACTAAAGCCCCAAAATATCCCGAACGTAACTTATATATATCATGGGACTAAAGCCCCAAAATATCCCGAACGTAACTTATATAGATCATGGGACTAAAACCCAAAAATGTCACCAAAGTAACTTATATATATTGGGAAACGAACCAGCAAAATCATCTAAAAATATGACATTGAATCCCATAAGTAACCTCACCCCCACCCACCCCCACCCCACCCAGATAACTTACATACGTCATGGTATTGAAGTCCCAAAATAACTGATAATTAATGCATATTCTATCAATTAAGCCGAAAATACCCTCAATATACGTAATAATTAATATATATATCATGACATTTAGGCTTTTCCCATGGTATCTATTTATACATTAAACATAATCTGGCAAGGTGTCGATGAGTCATAAACTAGAGACATATAGTGTAGAGTTATCAATAAATATCAATAGGTTGAAATTAAAGACTTAATTCCCCTTATCCAACCGGTATGGCGCCTGATCTTTGTATGTACATGTATTTTTAAAAAGTTCATAACAAATAAATGATGTTTATAAGTTATTGGTAATGCGTATGCTTACTTGAGAAAGTCAAGCTGTTTGTTGTTATTGGAAACAATAATTATTTACCAAATTGGGTTAAACATCAGTCAACATATTAAGACGAATAAATTGACCGATAGTTTAATGTTGTCACGAACTTGCTGTAAGCTGCTGTGATAATGTTAGCTCTACCCGGATGTCGTCAATGATCTACATATTTATAATACCGTGTCTGTATCATCAGTCATTGTAAGTGACAACACGATACAGTAAATAAACATTCTATGACTTTTATAATAGTCACACGCCAACGAATTCATTACAATGCCAAGCCGATATGTCAGGCTGTCACCACGTCAAGTAACCAGAGTTGTTTTGATAAATATCATCATTTACTGCCGATATTGATAACTATTAAGCAATAATTAGTACTCTGTTAAGGCTAAAGCTGGTTATAAACCGTAGAACATTAAATAGGATACGGTATAAAGCGAAATTCGTTACCCTTAACTACTGATATGATATAATACCATATAAAGACTGATTTCAATACGATATGATAAAAAACGCTGAATGTGATATCGTATAAAATATTTCACTGAATTTGATTAATGTCATTCATTAGAATATAAATATGTAAACTACCATACAAAAGAACGTTGTATGTTATAAGTATGATACAAAAGAACGTTGAATATTATAAGTATGATACAAAAGAACGTTGAATATTATAAGTATGATACAAAAGAACGTTGAATGTTTTAAGAATAATACAAAAGAACGTTGAATATTATAAGTATGATACAAAAGAACGTTGAATATTAGAAATATGATACAAAAGAACGTTGTATATTATAAGTTTGATACAAAAGAACGTTGTATGTTATAAGTATTATAAAAAGAACGTTGAATATTATAAGTATGATACAAAAGAACGTTGAATGTTTTAAGAATAATACAAAAGAACGTTGAATATTATAAGTATGATACAAAAGAACGTTGAATATTAGAAATATGATACAAAAGAACGTTGTATATTATAAGTTTGATACAAAAGAACGTTGTATGTTATAAGTATTATAAAAAGAACGTTGAATATTATAAGTATGATACAAAAGAACGTTGAATGTTATACGTATGATACAAAAGAACGTTGTATATTATAAGTATGATACAAAAGAAGGTTGAATATTATAAGTATGATACAAAAGAAGGTTGTATATTATAAGTATGATACAAAAGAACGTTGAATGTTATACGCATGATACAAAAGAACGTTGTATATTATAAGTATGATACAAAAGAAGGTTGAATATTATATAATATCACGTAAAAGAATACTGAATATGATACAATATAACACAATAGAAAACAGAACATGAAACAATATTATATAAAAATGTTGACGCCCTGTACACAGAAATCATGTAACACGGACAAAGTGCTAGAACTAGGGAGTCATTCTGTGTTATCACTTGTCTTTTTCCAAACCATTTCTCTGTATCATGGATTAATCAAAATTACAACTTAAATCATATGTTGTTGATTTTAAATGGCGGATTCAAGTAACTGGTTTTGGAATCATCATCATGGTTTTAACAATAACACAATTCGACTGAAAGACAAGGTTGTTCGATAGAATTATCCCGATATATTACCATTTTGGCAGATTCTTACATCAATAAGTACATTTAAACAATGTTGGATCATATGAAAAAAGACGCGTTTATAAATCAATGTATCAATAATTAAATTGGTAATAAACACAGCACAACGTTCAAATGTGAAAATGATTATTTGGATACAAATTTAAGTGGTCATCTTGTTCAGTTTCCTATCATGGTGGTCTGTATGGTTAATTCTGCAATGCAAACTCTTTTTGCAGTGGCATTTAGGCATGCAGAAACATAAAAGGTTCTAAAAACTGGTTCGTAACCACGACAACAACTGCAAATCAGTACAATTTCGAGCATATGCCTAGATTCCTTCTCTAGTAATTCTCTAAGACTACATGTATTAACTTGCAAAGAAGTTGATATTTTGTGAAATATTATTTTTTTTGTTGTTGCTATAGAACTGTCATGCTGAAACATGATCTTAAGCACACAATTTGGAAAGCTTGTAGTCCCATGTTTCTAAAAGTTAAATGTTTCGTTGGCCTGTGAGTTTTGGGGTTAAGTGATCGATGGTGACATATAACGTCAGTATAATACTGACACATTTCTGTTTATATCCATGTTAAAACGAGACGATAACTCTAACCTGATGATGTACAAACACAAATAGAAAACTGTTTTAGACAGATTGCAAAGGAATTAAAATCGACTTATCTGCATGATTGTACACAAGACACACACATGAATAACAGCTTTCAATAATTTTATTAGATATAGTAGAGTCAAATAATAAAACTGTATCAGATAGCTGTTCCGTTCTCCTAAGGCTCGTCAATGACGCTAAGGGCCTAATTTGTTGAAACATAGAACATTCAAATTGGTTGAAATATGAGTTATAAACAAGACGGGAAGATGCAGTAATCCAAACATTCAATAACTGTCGTAATGTTATATAATTTCAAAAGAACATCAGGTATATGTGCTTTAAACGCATGTTGGCAATAGAACTTTGTGAAACAACCTGCGTACTCATATAGTGGTTAGCAAAATAAGTAATCCACTGCTATCCGTGTATTGAATAATTTGTTTCCAAATAGTGACAAAACTTTATCTTTTTAATCTTTTTAATTGCGTTGGTTATTTTGAGTTCGTGTATCTTGAAATACATCTATTGCAAAACTATTTCTGAAAAACTACCTTTAAAATTTGCACTTTTAT